TTCTTCGGTTTTCAATAATCACTCAAATTTTACCTGTATTTCCCCCAAAATCTCACTGTACTCCCTACATGCTCCCTTCCTTAGTGCTAATTGCTCCTCTTTAACCAACTTCAACAAGCAAAGTTCCACCAGCGCGCATTAACCCTCTAACCGCCCGACGCTGCCCCGCCCACTACCCTTCGGCTCATTCATTTACGCCCATTTGTCTTATCCGTGCTCTGTCATTGCCGCTAACAAAGCACCATCTTCCATCCCCTTCAATTGCTTAGTGTTACACTACACCACTAAAGCAACTTTTACTGTCTTCTCTATTTTTTCTGTACCGTTCATCTGCATCGCCTTTGATGTACTATACCCATTGCCGCGTTTCCTTTGCATTCAATTGCTTTCTATGACTTCTGCAAGTATTGTTTACGTTTTGTTACACAAACAAAACAGTATTGAACTACAATATTGTTTTTCTTTTGTTTGTTTACTCTTTAAACCATTGTTTGAAACTGACTAAACAAATTCTGTTTTCAAAGCTTTCATATTTAAGGAATTGTAAAAGAATCTCTAAACATTTATATTGTTTCTAATGTGACAAACTAAGTATTTTATTATTACTCTATTTCGCATACTATGACGTTTCTTTTCTCCACGGTTGCTGGTAAACACAATTTGCCTTAAAACTTGACCTAAGAGCGGAGAAGGAAAATTCTTTTGGGCTTTAAGTGGTGGTGAATGAAGGTAGATATCACTTATTTAATTTTCTTTTAAAATAAAATTTTCATTTTATAGAATGCATTTTTTATTTTATTACTTTCATTGAATGGTGACGTTTTGGAATTATAATATTTATGCATTAGATGATTCTCTGTTCATAGTAGTTACAGTAAACGTGAACGAGTGAGGGGATATCGTAACACAATAATGATTATAATAATTGATATAGAGGTTTTAGCAAATTTTACATGAGTGTGTTTAGATGAAATGGAAGAATATAATACACTACATGAAACGAAGCTCTCTACTAGTTTATCTCACTGTTTGTTAATGTGTCCACGTATAAAATGTGTCTCCCACCTGATTTTCCAGTGTCCTCCTCCAGCAGCACACTTTACTTAGATGTCCTAGGGCTACCATTTCATCCTTGATCTGGTAGCATTGGGTTACATGTGACCGGTGAGTTCAAACAAGGGAAGTTCAAATCACAACACGGGGCAATAGCCGCGTTATTTTCGCGTCTGCAATAGGATAAATTCCTACGTGCTCCCGAATTGATTAGCAATACAGTTGAGTTGGCCGCGATTGGATCGTTATGCAGACTGCATTACCCCAGGGAGCGAACCTGAGTTGGGTACTGAATGGAGATTTGAAAGTTTACGTTTTCCATTCTCCAGCCCTTCATTTTACGATCCACTCTTTTATTTGTGGAATAAAAAACGCAGCACAGTAATTTCGCTGGCGTGTCCAGGATTTTGTGTTCTTTCTATCTATGTGCAATGTATTTGCGGTAGTCGTAATTAGCACTGTTTCAGAACCATCGAAATAGTTATTTTTATTTACACGGTGTTTTACTCAAACTGTCAAAACATGGCATTGCCTCCAAAATGTGCTTACACGTATTTTACGACGCATAGAGATTAGGAGGTATTTGTTCTGCAACATGTAAATGGTCATCAAAAAAGACGAAGTGATATTTTTCAATTTTTGTTAAAATTTATATATTATTATTCCATAATTATTTAATGATATTTTAAACGGTCTAAAATGCTTATTAACTTCAGTAAATTCCTATTTTAACATATTAAAACTATAGAGAGAGAGTGATTTTATTGGTAAAAATCGTATATATTTTAATACTCGGACCAAGACAATTTAAAGGAAGTTTACTAAAACATTAAATAAAAGACAGTAACCGTCTCACCACTCAACTCTTCACAATCAGCATTGGAGAGATACTTCGTGTAATAATTTTGACAATGTTTAGTCTTACTAGATAAGTAGCACTGTTCTCAACAGTGTTTGGCGTGAATGTACGGTTCTGAATAATTCCAACACTTAATGATGTCATTTCATCAAGTATTTAACGTCACATAAGAAATATGTTGAACTTGTGACAGTGAAAGGTAGGCTTCCAAACAAATTACTCTTTTTGCTTGTACATGTGTTCATTCATTTGGCTGCATGATCAAACTTGTTTGTATATTATGTTTTATAAAATAATGTATCTATACTTCATCTTTATTTTAGCTTCTAATTGTACCTGGAGATGGAGATACAACTCGATCTCCGAAAGTGTAAGTTTAAAGAAACAAATCGCAATTTTATTTTATTAATTTTATTTGATGTTTAATTTTCTGGAAAGAATAATAAAAATAAACCTGATTGTCTAAAATTTGAAATGGAAAAGTTTATCATTCACATATATCACATATATCAAATCGACAACTTAGTTGTATTATCAACCAGCTTTATACAAAGTATAACTGCCGGTGACCTCCACAGCATACACTAATAATGGCGTACTCCAAAAAATCTCTGAAAATAATCTCTTCAAAGAAATATCATGCTTGGAATTTCCAAAAACAAGTTATTATTATTGAAATAAAGTAAGAAATGAAATAATGAGAACGAAAAAACTAATAAATCATAATACTTAACATCTAATCTAATGTAACAAAATTGTAAGTTAAATTTCCCTTTTTCCCAATAATTGTTAGTGGTCTATAATGTTCTTTCACGTATTTAACGGAACAAAAACAAAAAATTATGTCACTATGTTATTCAGGATTCTTGCTGAAGTCTTTGTCACTGTAATATTGTCCACAATTTCTACGCATAGGTTCTACTTTAGTTTTGCCATCCAATGCTTAAAACAATTTCTCTCCTATTATTTTTTCCTACGTATTATCTTATCGTTTCAATGTAATCTGCATATATGCACTCCTATACCATAACCAGAGCTCAATGTTTATGCTCTCAGAAAACGAGTCACTTTCAGAATACTTGTTTTATTTCTTCTCTCGAACAGTATATTTAATACCATGGAAACCGTCCGCCTTCTATACACTCCCGACCAGGTCTTCACTTGTCACCCACAATCAGGTAATTTTATTACAAGGTTCCAAACCTTCTTGTCGAATAAATCTGTCATTACTATAACACAGTGATTTGTCACATACATTCGTAATGAGAAGAAATAAAATTATTAAAATCTATGAAAATAAAAAATATGTATAATGTAACAATTGATAAAATGTGTAACATAAATAACAATTTCATCAATAAATTTTATTTACTTACTTCTTATTTATTTTATCAATAAATAAGAAGTGACAATAGAGACAATATTCGTAACAAAAAATTACCCATTGTGATGATGATGATTACGAAACTAACGATAACTGTGGTTACGAAAAGAGAATGTTCGTTTTAGAGCATAAAAAAAACTGAATATAAACTGGCGTAATATGTGCAGAGGGAAACAATTTTTACTCAAGCTCCTCTTTCCCTCTCCATCCCCCTAACAATGTATGGCAATTATCGTGCGATTGTGTGATACATTGTACGCACGACGCGCGTTTCCACGCAGTGCACAAACTAAGCAGGCAGCTAAGCGGCAGCAGAACAAATAATCCCACGAGGAGCCACCCCTTCCGCCCCTCTCCCCCCCTCCGCCCGCGCCCCTGCTGCATTATTGCCCAGCGTCTTAGCCCCCCGTCCGGATGGGAAGGCCTGCCGCTAAGCCCGTGGTTAATAAAGGACTCAAGCCCGGAGATCTTCATGGGGCCTGCGAAAAGACCGCCTGAGCTGTGGATCATGACTTATTCATGACGAGGGTGTCGGATGGGAGATTTCGATGCTTGTTGTTGGGAAGAAAGCTCTACCCCTCATCTCAAAACACACTGAAGTTTTGGGAGTTTCAATCTGTGAGAAACAGTGACTCGGGGAAATACTAGTTCATAGTATTTATCATATATCTGGATGTGTCTAATAGAATATGTTTCTGAGCATCAAATCAATATGCTTGTCATTGCGGTTCTCACTTTTGAATCAAGACCGAATGAATTGAGATCAGTGTAATACTTTTCAGATATAGATACAAATTGGGTTCAGGCTATTGCTAAAAATAAGTGAGAATTGAATACATGGTTGTTTCAACTTTCTTCTGTAAATTTACATAATATAATATTTTACTTCACTTTAGACCTACTCAAGAAGTTATATCATTAGATTATGTAATGTTCCTAGAACGAATTTATTTCTAACGTAACAAAAGAAACTCATTAGAGCATATCTGTAAAGTTTCGTGTAAGTTTGTCTTAGTGAAAACATAATTAAATTTTCTCATAACTCGCCATATTTCACGTCGATGAACGCTTAATACGAAGACTTAATAAACTGTACGCACGTCAATGAAAATGCCCTTCTTCACTTTACGATGTAGGTTAAAATCTTTGGTACTGGCCACTTGACGATATAGTTCTCTTATGTTTTAACGTTTCTTTTGTCTGTTGGTCTTCCTGTATCCATTTATCAGGCTTAAAAGTTGCCGGCCACTTTCAAAAGCGTAATGTTCGGTTATTTCATCGTGCACTTTGTTACTTAAGTTATGTGTGTCTGGGTATGTGTATATATGTGTGGTTATTACCAAATTTGTACCACATTCAAATATCACTCAAAGATATATAAAAATAGTCTTTTCTTAAAGTATTTTGTTGTTTCTTTAGCAAAGATCTCAAAGTTTCATTTTCTGACAAACAGTAACTAATAGTTCCCATAACTTAATAAATCTCAAAATTGAACATGAAACGTTTGTGTCAACTCAAAAACAGCGTCGCCTCATTACAGTCCACTCATTTGGAAATCTATAATTTTAAGACAAAGAAAAATAGTATGTTAATACATATCGTTTCACACTAGTGATACAAAATAAGTATAAAAAATTAAATCGTATATAAAAATACCTAGATGTTTGTTTGCGCGAGCTTAAAGTCTCCCCGCTTTCTTCGCAGCCTCCTTGCGCGAGCCGCACCACGCGCCGAAACCGCGAACGGGGCGGCGCCGGCGCCATTTGCATTTTTGCTGCGACTTAGCCAACTTGGCGGCCGTCACCAGGGTAAGCTCCCGGAATTAAAGGCGGGAGTTACGGCGAGGATAATTAAAACTGGGCTCCTTAAGGCGGCGGGGCCCTGGCGGGGCGATATCAGCCCAGTTACATCTCCTAATTAAAGACATAAAGTGTACACGGCCGCAGTATGTAAATGCCCCGGGGACGGCAACGCTGCGTTGTCTGCGTGGGCTGGTATCGCTAGCGGGCGACCCGACCTGCGACCCCATCCCGCCCCGGACCGCGCGCCTCGCCTGCCGGCGGCGACTGTGACCCACCCAACCCTGCCACCCGCCCCTGCGCCGTCCCCGAGCTCCTCCCGACTCGGTGACTCGTCTGTCATTTCTGCCGAGGGCTTCCGTGACGTGAAACGCAGCGTGCTTGCTACCCACCTCTGGATCTACTCTACCCACTCAGCCGACCCTAGTCGTTCACCTCTAGCCTGAATGTAAAGCCGTGTTGCTGGTACAGTAGATCACCTAGTCTAAAGGAACGCCTCTAGTCAAAACGTCTGGTGTATCTAGACATGTTCCTAGCCTAGTCTTCCATCTATTATAGTCGATAATCTCAAGTCTAATCGTTTAGTCGCGTTCTTTGACCCATTTACTAGAGCAGAGGATTACATGTAATCTAGACCTCCAGACTTGTTCCTTACTTAGTTACTTTAGGTTAGACGTCCAATTGTGTTCATATCTCAGTCGTTCTCTCAGTCTCGACAATCATCACTAGTTTAAAAGTCCAGTCGTTTCCTTAACCTAGACGTTCATTTAGTGAAGTTGATCACCTCTAGTCTTGTGGTTCCGTTTTCATCTCCTCGTAACCTTAGTAATGTCGGTTCTTCAGAATTTTGAATGGGGTTGAAATTGTGATTGATCTAAACAGAATTTTTTGGTACACAGAAGATTTCCATGACAACTCTATCGTGTTTCCTCTGTTCTTCATTGCTACATACACGCTCATTCCATATCATTACTTTTCCTACACCGAGCATACATTTCATTCACCATGCAGGATTGAGCTTTCAGAATAAGGTACTAAAATGACTAATAACTAATGTTACTTTATGCTAAATGGCTACACCTTACACCATATGGTTACAACTTGACGCATCACGCACGCAGGGTTGTCCATATACTATTTGTATCTAAATTAACGGAAGTTTTCCCTTTTAGAAGTGGCAACAACAATGATACTCTTCTGTCACATTATGCATTTCAATATTTTTCATGTCTACTGCAGTGAAAAAATTAAATAAATAATTAATGTTATGCAATAGAATTCTGGTTAATTTGATTTTTTCCTCTTACTTCTATACTTATTTAACTTTAGGCAACATGAACTGTTCCTATTGTGTGACATCAGAGCAAATGTTATACTTTGATGCATTCCGGCTCCAATACCCAGTTTCCTTCCGAACTTTATCGTTATATCTCGTTTCCCTTACGCACACTCGTACGTGTTTCACCCTTCTCTTCTAAACCCGCGCTCTCTTCTTTCGGAGCCTCCTCATATCTCCCCACTCCACACATTTCTCATCGCCTCCATCCCTTCCTCTTAATTTTACACCGTCCCGTTTCTCTCCATCCCACCCCATCTCCCCCACCCTTCTCTCATCCGCATCCTTCCACCCCTTACATCGCGTCGCCCGCCTGCCTACCCGCACGCCTCCTCGCCCCTCTCCCTACTCCTCGCCATCACCTCGCCCCTCCCACTCGCTCCTCCCGCCCGCTTCCATGCATCCCCACCGCCACCTATCCTCACACCCCCGCCTCGGCTCCCAGCCGCCGGCCGCCTGCACCGCCGCGCGCCCACCCGCTCGGAGAACCGCGAGCGTTCCCGCGTGCTAAATTAGTGAATTGATGTGCGTACTAAGGTGCGTGGCGCTCGCAGCCAGTAAGAGGTCGGCGCGCGACCGCTGTAGGCCGAACTACGAGCTGTTTAAGGCCCAGCCCGCACGGAGCCGCAGCACCCCCGCGGTTCCTTCGGTCGAGAGGACGCGGGCCGCGGGGTGTGGATAGGCTAAAGCAGGGCGCCCGCTCGCACGCGCCCTAATCGCAGCGTTCAGAGTGCGTGCAACGGGAGCAGGCTAACGTGGGAACTTGGTGGAGATCAAAAATGTTTTAATTTGATGGCTATATAGCATTACGTCTAGCCCAAAATTAAAATTGCAGAAGCGCACATTGAAGGTTTTAATGTTTTAATGCTTTAAAATCAGTTTTATAACGAACTACCAGCTCACTTCTAAATCACACACTTTTCTCATATTATTAATTCATTTTGAACGAAAATCCAGAATTATTCTCAAAGTTCAGAAATGTAAACAAGATGTGTATAAAATGCATATCTGTTTAAAAACTGTACCTGTACTTCGCATGTACTTCGGCAACGTACTGTAACTTCGGTTTTGTAGACCGAAAAATGCTATAATCTGGATGCTATAATTCCATATAGTAAAATAAGTCCTCACGTGGTGGTACACAGATCCTGTATTTTGGGTGTTGATTACCGAAAAATATAAAACGCAAACGACTGTCTGAACTCGTCTGTCCCGTCCGTCCGTCTGTCCATCTGTCCTGTGATCAAGCTAGCGCCTAACTCCTTGAATTTTCTCTAAAATAGTATTCATCCGTTTCGATCTAACGCATTCGGAAGGCTTGGGAGTATAACGAATATTTTGATTTTTTGAATTTTAGTTTTCAATGAACCCCAAAAAATTTTTCAATTTTTTTCCAAAAAAGGCTCAAATTTTTTTATTAAAACTTTGTCCTCTATAAAGCAGAAGCAGCAAATGATACGCTTAAGAGAATGGTGCTGGTCACTGTTCATTAAAATATGTCAGCATTTTTTGAAAAATTGCAGAAAGTGCAATGTTTTTTGGGGTTTTCCTACAAAAATAAAATAGAAGATAGTGATTTTTCTTTATGAAATCGTTTCTTAAAGACAGATCGTAAAATAAAGTCATGTACAAGTTTTCGTGTAAGATAAGCAATTTTAATTTTTTAAACTGTTTTCTTTAAAAACGGTAATCTAACTTGTTTCTTTAAATTTTCCTTTTTTACATGACAATTTAACATAATGTTTTAAACTACAAAATTGAATACAGAAATGTTGGTCTTACGACAAAGCTACTTTAAAAAATTTGCTTTTACAGAAGGTCCGTAACGATTTTATCTAAAACAAACGGTAGTATAATGGTTTTTGTAGTATTTGGATTTGAAATCAATACAATTTATTTTAAAACATCTTTTAAAAACTTGGAAATATTTTTCTTCAATTTTTTCTCTCACGGACAGAAGGGACGCTTAAAACGAATAACGTGTTCTCATTTTTCGTTAAAGTCTCTAAATTTTAAAAATTTAATTTGCTGTTATGGGCATTGCGAGTTTCTGATGAAGTACTTTCTTTAAAGACAGGTATAAAAAAAGATTATGTACAATATTTTCGCAAGATGTGAGTAAGTGTTTGAGTAATTTTCGCATGCAATATTGCATTCTTAGTTTTTTCAACAACTTTTTTTCTCAAAAAAATCTTCAAGAATTTTGTGGCAGAAAAGGTTAATGCAATAAGCAATGAACTCCACGTCGTGTAGCGTATTTTCAAATTCAATGTAAAAAAATTGTCGTCTGCTAATCTAATAAGATATGAGATTTTTTCGAATACTTAACACAAGAACTAACTGATCTTGCCTGTTCTCGAGAAATTCTCTTATTAGCATAATTTCACATTAAAAAGACGTTGATATTCTTTCTTCTCGATAGGAGAATATGACAGTATATTTCGCCCTGCACACTTTTAATTCTGTTTTCATACGTCTTGACACACACATGCACATACAGTCATCTATAAATCGTAATGCTGATTCAATGTTAGTTTACACGTTTACTCAGTATCAACTATGTTCCGTTTTCGATCCCTTGTCTACAGTGTCTTCATAACTTCGTCTCACTTTGAACTATGACAATATAATAATTATCATACAAATAGTATATAATGATTATTCAAAAAAATTCATTTCAACAATTTCAGAAGGTAAAGAAGGCATGTGTCGGAATCTTCCGGCCTGAGATCCGGCGGGGCGAGAGGTGATCCCTCACCGCTCGGAGGCAGGTAGCTGCGCGGAGGCAGCGGGCGATGTCTCCCAGGCGCAGCCGCGAAGGTAAACGTAAAAGCGTGAGCGGCCGTATCGCGACACGCGCGTCTTCGTATGATTAGTGTGTTTGTTTTCTCGCGTCAGAAACGTGACACGCGTGAGCCGCGACGGGCGTGGGCGCGCAGGAGGCCGGGCCCGGGACTAGGCTTTTAGAGGCAGCGTTGTTCCATCATCTCGTGACACCCACCCAGTTATTCTCACGTTATAAAATAACTCGCGCCCGGACCGGCACGAACCGTTCGTCATTAACGCTCACACTCGAAAAGGGGGCTACCGTCCCCGCGCGGCTGCTGCGCCCGAGGGGGGCTTTCTCGTCCCTCGGAGAGCGCATCAGCTCTGCTCCCAATGCTCGGCGATATCCAAGGCTTTGTTTATATCATTCTGGAATGCGCTCCAAAGTAATAATTTAATACATATAGTTATATATATTTTATTACTATTTAATAATTGCAAATCACACAATTTAATAATTGCAAATAACACAAAAAATGTTAAAGAAATCGTGGAGAGTCAAACTACTCCATGGACAATATCGAAAAAGAATGGACAAGGTGCTATCAATAAAGATCAATCATTTACGTGGCTTAAAAGGGAAAGAATGAAGCCAGAATCTGAAGCAGTTCTAATAGCTGCTCAGGATCAGGCGTTGAAAGCACGACATTATAATAAACAATTGGGTCCTGTGTTCTCAAAAGTTCTCAAGATGAAAAATGCCGCATCTGCCAGGAACAAGGAAAAACGATTGATCACATCGTCTCAGATTGTCCAATTCTAGTAAAGATCGAATTCTTGAAAAGGCACGACGGGGTAGTTACCTCAACTGAAAGATCTGTACCGCCTCCGAAGTTCCAAACACATG